TGTGCAGTTGGAAGCTGGTGGAGAAAAGAGATTTAATGAAAGGGTGAATAGTTGTGATGGGTTTTGGGAAATTTTACTGGGGAATTGTTGTAGGTTTAAGAAGTCCTGGTGGTACTGTAGGATAAGCACTGCTAGGTCAGCAGTTCAAACCCACCAGCCACTCTGCAGACGAAAGATGGAAGCTTTCTGCTCCCATAAATCTTTGGTTGGTTGGAAGTGTGCTGTGGAGTCGGTTCCGACTGATAGCGACCCTGCATAGGGTTTCCGAGGCTGTAAATCATTATGGGAGCAGAAAGCCTCATCTTTCTCCCGTGGAACGGCTGTTAGTTTCAAACTACTGACCTTGAGGTTAGCAGCCTGACTCGTAACCACTACGCTTTTACAGGCTTTCAAATCCTAAAGAGGGTCACTATGAGTCAGAATAGACTCAAAAGTAGTGGGCTTTGGGGTAGCAGGTTTGTTTTGCAGAATTACGAGCTCACTTGAGGTCTGTGGACATAAATATCAAGTAAGATTAGTCAACATGCTTGTGTAATATTTCTCCCTAAGTGTTTGCTGTTGGGTGCAGGTACCAAGTAAATGAAAATTTGGCTAAACAAGGGTAAAGTCTTTTCCAGGTGAGCAAGACAGAGACAAGGGGGTTATGATGTTTGCAATGAAGTTGTTCGAATACTGGACCATGCAACCTATGCTTCACAAGCAACGAAGGACATAAGGGGAGTAACAGATGATGAGAAATGGCAAAATCAAGGGATTAGAAATTGGGGAGAACTGGGCTAAATGAGCTCAAAGGGTTACGGTGATAATCTGATAGGTGGGTATATGAGATTGAGATTTTGTGTGTGGTGTAATTATTAGTCATTTTTTTTTTCCAAAATAAAAATAAAAGACACAAAGCATTGACCAAACAGAAGCTTCAGGATCAAGTTGATGTTGTTTTTGGCTTCATTAAAAATGCACTTTCTGCTTACATCACTGGCTTGGTCAAGGTTTGTTTGGCTAGGAGAGTTTGAGTCAGTATTACCTGACTTGAATTTACCATCAATCCTAACATGAACGGACTGTTCTCTACTGTATTATAGGAGAGAGCTTTAAAATCGTTGACATTAACACTGAGTTCAGCCTTAATAGTTCACATAAATTTTATTTTATGTTTGTTGTTTATTAGGTGCTGTCAGTTCTGACCTATAGAAACCCTCACAGTTGTTGTTGTGTTTGAGCCCATTGTTGCTGCCACTGGGTCAATCCATCTTCTTAAAGGGCCTTCCTCTTTTACACCAACCCTCTGTTTTTATGATATCAGTATCAAAACAAAATATGTTCATTGTGTAATTAAGTGGAAATTTCCCAATTGAATTTTTTCTATTATCACTAACAGCTTTAAAAAAGCCAATTCAATGTGTGTATGTAAAACAAGGAATCAATTTAAAGTTAAGAACTCATATTTTGCTGTGAAAATTTAAAAAATAAACATAAAAACCTTGATTATAAAATTTTCATTTATTGCACTGTCATTTAAAATTGCAAGAATATAAAAAATACCATGCCATATTAGAAACTATTATTAAGTATGATCATATGTGATATTTAGTGACAAAGTAATAGCATAATGTGACCCAAGGAAAAATTCAACTCATTTTAGAAAATAGTCAAGTTTCACTTAAGTAATGTTTCACTGTATCTCTGTGCATCATTAAGCTGCAAACTGGTTTATACAATGCCTTTTTCTCCAGCTGGGAACTGTGTAGGATCCAGTCCTAACTTCTTCATCGATACAGCAATATCAAACAAATAGTCATAACATTCACACCTATAAATGCAAAAGCAAACAGAATGGAAGGTGTTTAGTGAAAGAATTCAACAATCCTAAATCATTTCATTTCTCCTTTCCACCAAGTTAACCCTGCCTGGTTCCTAGTGTATTTTTTTTTCTCATTTGTTAAGTCAAATGTTTCTCATTTCACCCCCAATATTTAAACATGGAAATGAATCACATTTATTCATGCAACCACATCATATACTGCTCAGGGAATAAGAGAGAGTTTAAACTAAACTATACATATACACTTTCGTCTTTACTATGTTCCACTTTTCAAAATAAATGCAGCAGATGACTACATTACTTGAGTTAGCTTTAACTCTCCTGATTAGCCTTAAACTTTGAGAACATGAGCTCTGTCTCCTTCCTCCTTGTAATACAGTGCATAGGGCCTTACTAAATAATAGTTAATCCTAATCAATATTTCTGAATAAATACATGCTAACAATAAATATCTAGAAATAATAATGGTAAACGCTTTAAAATTAAACCAATATGGTCAAGAACAAAATCCACACTTCATTTTAAATCATAAAGCTTATTTTATTCTCTTTTATATTTAGAGTGTGGGGATTTGTCCCAAATGTTCTTTATTTATACTTACATGGTTTTAGCCTTCTGCCATGTTTCTCCCCATACATACACTCCATGACGTCTGACTAGCACCGCACAGGAGTCTGGGTATTCGTTCATTGCACAAGCCATCCGTTCTTTGAGGTCTTTCTCCTCAGGTGTATTCTCGATAATGGGCACTACTAACATATCATCATATCTACAAGCAAAACAGATCATTTCCCCCCAACAATAAAACACATGTACTCACATTAAAACATGCACTGTTTTCAAGTAACCAGTTAGAACGGCATTCTCTTGATAGTTGAAAGCCACTCCAACTTCAGAGCAAGATGCTACATGTTACTCTATGCATCTTGCCTAAACATTTGTATCAAAAGGCGCCTTGAAAACTTGGCAGGCATTGTTCTAGTACTAATGACAGAAATCTGTATTTTGTTGTTGTTGGTAAGTACCTTGGAGTCCGTTATGACTCATAGCGACCCTATATAGAGCTTCCAAGGAGCAACTAACTGGTGGGTTAGAACCACTAACCTTGTGGTTAGCAGTCCAGTGCTTATCCTACAGTATCACACCAGAATTCTGTATACAAAAAAAACATTTTCACTGAGTCAATTCCAACTCATAGTAAACTGACAGGATAGAGTAGAAGTGTCCCATCAGGTTTCCAAGGCTGATAATCTTTACAGAAACAGAATGCCTCACCTTTCTCTCTTGGAGTGACTAGTGGGTTTGAACCACCAACCTTTCATTTGGCAGTCAATCAATTAATTACAGAGTCAGCAAGGATCCTTGGTATATCAAAATTCAACAAAGAAATTAGCAAGGTCATGCAAGTAATTCCTTGAAGCAGAGACAATTATATTTGTAACAGGAGAAAGGAAAAGATACATCTTAGAATCAGAAGCATAGAAAAGAGGTGAAAGCATAGAAAACTTTAACTGAACTATTGTTATTAGGTGCCGTGGAACTAGTTCTGACTCATCGGGACCCTATGCACAACAGAAGGAAACACTGCTCAGTCTTTCCCAACAATACAAATCTCTTGTTTTTAACCTCTTCAGGGCCCCAAAGTGCCTCAGCTAGATAAACCAATAAGGCAAGTGTGATTTGAGGCATCAAGACAGCAAGAACTTTAGGAAATAACTATTAAAGGTGTGATCATTTCTTAAAAAATAAGAATATGTTGTTTTCTTGTTGTATATATAATAAAGATTCAAGCAAAGAACTTAGTTACTCATAAAATCAGCTATTGTTGTGAAGTGCAGTTGAGTTGGTTTTAACTCAGTGACCCCATATCAGGTTTCTGAGGAGCAGCTGGTGAGTTTGAACTGCCGACATGTGGTTCAAACCAACCTTGCGGTGAAGTGCTTATCCTATAGGTCATACATTATATGTAATATATAGCCAATCGAAAGTCAGAAATGTTTTCCTTTGTACGTAAATCTTCTTCACTAAGGAAGAACTGCTGGCCTCATCTTTCCTAATGTTGACAAGAACCACAAACGTATTTTATCATAAGCATACATCAAATAGAAACGGTTTCAGATAAAAAATTAATTCCGGAGCAAAATTAACACGTGAAGCAAATTCAATTCACTACCTCCATTTTAAGGAGCTCAGGTACAGTAGTGGTTACGAATTGGGCTGCTAACCCCAGGGTCAGCAGTTTGAAAACTACCAGCTTTTCCACGAGAAACAGATGAGGCTTTCTGCTCCCGTAAAGATTTACAGCCTCAGAAACCCTGTACAGGGTCGCTATGAGTCAGAACCGACTCCATGGCACATTAACAACAACAACAACCCTCACTTTACATAGAGGAAACTGAGCCCAGCAAGTGAAGTGGGCAGAGTCAAAATAGTCTTCTGACTTTTAAACACGTTTATGTCTATCTACTCAATTCCAGGCACACAGTTTTCAATAGAGCAGATGAAGATACTTAGATCTATTAACCTCCTCCTGGTAAGAATCATCAGGTTTTTCCCCCACAATGGCCCTTTTGTTAATAGAAGAGAGATCAGAACTCCATCTTTCCTACTTGCATCATTGTATCTCATCCAATCTTCACTGCCTCTCTTTCAGCAGGATTCTCACTTAATGTGAATCTCAGTGTGCTAATGGGCTGTTACATATTTCTCAGCTAGGATCAGACGGTATAGAAAAGGACATCTCAATTTTTTCCCCCTAATTCTTTAACTTCTGAAGCATTCAAAATAGTATGTAAGATGTGTAACAAAGCACATATTTTCATCCATGTCCTTCGTGTTCTAAATTCCATAGGCTCTTCTCTATTGTGCTCCAGGCCTCCTCTACCCACCCTTTCCTACAGCTTCCCTGACCTGTGTTCGTTTCTTCAGCAAAGCCATGAAATGCCTATGAAATGGATAGCACACACACTGCCTTACCTTCAAGACCAGATCTGGCAAAGGCAATAGGCGGCTAAGCTTTACTTAGCATGCTCCCTTTTGACAATTTAAATATTTAACTTTTGTAAGTAGGTGTTTCACAATACTGAGGAATGCTTTAGGCCAACAATAAATATTAACTGAAATCAAATCAAATTAATTTATCAGCTCACTAGTTAAAACATGTATATTCAGTTACATGCAATAACGATACGGCAGTACTGTAAGAACTCTGAACAAAAAACTGGCACCTTATCCTCTAAATCAGGGAAGAAAGAAGTTTCCAGGACCTTTAGGGCATTAGAGGAGCCCTGCTGGTACAGTAGTGAAGCACTTAGATGTTAGGCAGGCAGTGCGGGCCCACAGAGCAGTCTGACACTGTGTCCTATAGGGTCACTGTGAGGCTGTGCGGGCCCACAGAACGGTCTGACACTGTGTCCTATAGGGTCACTGTGAGGCAGTGTGGATCCACAGAGCTGTCTGATACCATGTCCTATAGGGTCACTGTGAGGCAGGGCGGGCCCACAGAGCGGTCTGACACTGTGTCCTATAGGGTCACTATGGGTTAGTGCGGGCCCACGGAGCTGCCTGATACCGTGTCCTATAGGGTCACTGTGAGGCAGTGTGGATCCACAGAGCTGTCTGACACCATGTCCTATAGGGTCACTGAGAGGCAGTGCGGGCCCACAGAGCGGTCTGACACCGTGTCCTATAGGGTCACTGTGGGTCAGAACTAACTTGACGTCAATGGGTTTGGGTTTTTTGGTTTTAGGAAATTAATCAGGGTGAGGGCTCAGAAGTAAGTATGTTAATAAGTTCTAATGCAATGCTTCGTTTGTACCTGGGTACTAAGAACATGTTTCTTCACATCAGTAATTTCTAGCTTTATGAATAATTAGCCACACCTTTGTGGGTTGGTAGACTTATTTGAACTTATCTAAGAAGTCACATTGTTCTATACTAACTAGGCCACCTTTCAACACTGAAAAATTAAAAACAAACTCTAAAGATCTACTTAGTTATAATAATTATAGAAAGTTTATAAGCATGAAAATAATCCAGGAATATGAAATTAAGTCAAAATGTATTGTTAGGTGCCATTGAGTTGATTTTGACTCACTGCAACAACATACAACCGAGAGAATTGCCCCTTTGGTATTTTTAGACTACAATCTTTACAGGAGCAGACTGCCAGGTCCTTCTTCTGCGGCACTGCTGGTTGGGTTTGAACTGCCAATCTTCCAAATAGCAGCCAGAGTTTCCCCACTGTTAGGGCGAAACTTGTGAGGGTAGGGACATCGTCCTCTTTGGACGGGTCAATAAAGGAGCACCATCTGTCCATCTCTGTAGAAATCCCAGCCAAGCTTTTAAAGAAAAACTAACATTTGATTATTCATGTTGGGAACAGTTTACCATGTCGGCAGGGAGAATGGAAGGAAGCCTTCTTATTTGGTGTCACTGAGAATGTATCTGGAGGCATTATGTCAAGTGATGTATTCTATAACACAGACCTCACAATTTCTCATTAAGTTCACCAAAAGATCACTATCCTAATTATCAAAAGAAGGAAAAATACTTCCTAAGTAAATTTGCTAAGCAAAAATAAATAAGTAAATAAATAAATACCTGTAATACCCCCCCGAGGTACATTTCCTTATTCCTTTTATCATCTCCTGATGTGTAATTTTAAACTCCTGTCCTGGAAAAAGCAGGGTGGCCATGACAGCAGCTTTAGAGTGGGTGTGAATCACTGCGCCGGCTCCTGAACAAGGAAGAGTAAAGTCAGTGAGACTGAGTTAGAACCACCCTAAGAGATAGACATATGTGAGGGGGCTTCAAACGTTGGTGGGGAGTTCTCATTATCTTTTCACTCCATTTTTCCACGAACATTATGAAGCTCCCTTGTATGTATATGAAGTGATAAGAGTTATTTTTCGTGAACAAGTCGGTGGAGAGAAGGGTAAAGGGCAGATCAGTGTTGTTGTGTACCACTGAGTGGATCTGTATTCACAGTGACCCAATAAGACAGAGTAGAACTGCCCCAACTGCTTTCAAAGCTGTAAACCTTTGGGGAAGCAGACGTCTACATCTTTCACCCATGAAGAGACTAGAGGTTTCCAACTGCTGACCTTTCCCTTTCCATTATCAACCAAGCAATTAACCTCAGTGCTACCAGGCCTCCTTAGGGAGAGCAGTATTGTGTTGTTAAGTGCCATTGTGTTGTTAAGTCAGTTCTGACACATACCAACCCTGTATAGGGTTTCCAAAGAGCAGCCTGGAACTACAGACCTTGCAGTCTGGTGCTTATCATACAGTGCCACACCAGGACTCCAGGGAGAGTAGTAGGAGAGGGGAAATACAAACACAGAAATTGGAAAGTAATAGAAATATCAAATCTATCCAGTGTGAGGACAATGTACAATACTTTACACATGTTCAACAAATATCTTTTTAGTGAATCAATGAATGAAAGGAGTTTTTGTGTCCCTTGATGGGATTAAAGTAACTGAAATTAGCAAACCCTTTTACATGTCATCTTTTTGCATCATCACAACACAGAAGTTACTCTCTCTCATTTAAAAGTTAAGGAAACGCCCACAGACAATGACACAGTCACGGAGGGCTAGAACTCAGAGTGAAGCATCCAGCTGATATGAAGTGAAGAGAGATACACAAGAACACTCAAATTGGCAGAGAGAACCCATGTGACCTAGCCTTGATGGCTTAGTAATCAGAACCTGACTACAGGAAGATGGAAAAAAAAAAGTTTTTATAAAGGAAACGAGAGTAAATTGCTACAATTTAATGAACTTGACCTATACTCATGGATGTAGTAGCTCAAAATGCCAACAGAGAGGGAAGGAGTCTTCATATCAATTATCAATGCTATCCCCTTTGTACACAGGGTAGATAGGGACGAACAACTCTTAGACATTGGCTACCTAAAATGAGGGGGAGATAAAGGCATGAAGTGACTGGCTTACAATCTTTGCAGAGGGAGTATAGTTTAAGAGTGTGCAGGGGAAGATAGAGGCCCCACTGAATAGTTTTCATCTTGTCTAGATGGGTCTGGTGAAAAGAGATGGGGATAAGATTTTTATGATTCAATAGTGAGTAATTGTTATCATGACTAATTGCAACGGTCACAATTGTAAAGGTAGAAGCTTTGTAACAAAAACAGGGGAGTAGTTAATCTTACAGTCCAGAAACAGAGGACCCTAGGACCATCAAGGGAGAAGAGCACAAGCAGAATATGGAACCTTATCCAGAGAAGCAGTGACACCAGAGATGGAGGCAGAGATGGGGGCATGGAGAGAGGGGGCAGCTGAGGACTCTAAATTCATGGAAAGAAAGGGACTGAGAGCTGGCAGCCAGGAGGCAGACTTGCAGAATGTGCCGCTTGGTGGTTATTATGTATGCCTTCGTGTTAAAAAAAAAAAAAAAAAAGCTAAAATGAATAGAGAGAAATACTGTTAACTGATGGTACATGGAGGGGATTATAACCATTGTAATGAAACAAGGTGTATGATTTGTTGAATGTACAACTGATGATCTGCCCTGTAAACTTTCACTCAATTCACAATTTAAAAAAACAAAACAAAATGAAAAAACCAGAAGTTAAAGAAACAGAATTGCACAGATGCAAACACTTGCTCAAAGTTCCCAGACAGTGATGGAAAAACTTGGGTTGGAACCAAGGTCCGTCTGACCCTTAAGTCCATTTTCTTAATCACCAGGTTAGGCGTCAGAGAGCAGGTCAGCCATGTTGTGGTAGCACAATAGGGTGATCGGGATTTTAAGGAAGGGATGCGATAGATTTACTGTATACTGTAAAACTCAGTCATGGCTACTTCAGCAATTGCTATGTTTATTTAGCTTTAACCTGTCAAATCTGTTCCTGTTAGAATTAGCAATAACTGAAAATGTCTAGGGATAGAACATAGCATGACAACATGCTTCACATTCATTTCATTCCGTTGTTAAGGCATGATCCTAATGAGCTTACTGCAGGGTTGAACCAGTACTTCTGTTACAATTGTCTGTTTTCACACTGTCCTCTAGGTTCACACTTTTCAGGCCAGTCTATTACCAAAACTGGGAAATGAAATAAAAGACTCCTAGTTTAAAGTTAAAATTAAAATAGAAATAAAAGACTCCTAGTTTAACTGTCCTGGAGTGGTGTGGCGATGTGGGTTAATGCACTGGACTACCAAGTTGGTTTGAATCACAAGATTGGCGGTTCAAGCTCACCAGCTACTCCTTGGAAACCCAATACAGGGTCACTATGGATCAAAACCGACTTGAATGCACTTGACGACAACAACAAAAGTTTAACTATAACTTTTTCAAAATAGGAGGCTGATTCTGATGGAGGAGGAGAAAAGGTGGCAATTCTCCCACATTTGTAATTTGACTTGTTTCTGTTACAAGTTATCATAGGTATAACTTTAACCCAGGAGCTGGGATTTGATAAGCATACAATGAGACAATCTAGTCAGAATAGAGTCGCACTGACCTGGGTTGGAATTCCGGCTCCAATACTCATTAGCTGCTTAATTTAATATGTAAAAAGGAGTATTAATGGACCCTTCTCATAGGATTGATGTGAAAACTGTTACAGGTTAACACATTTAAAGTTCTTACACATGGTGGGCATTCTCAGCTAAAAAGTAATTACTATTGTCTGTTGTTGTTGTTACCGGCTCATAGTGACCTTATACACAGCAAAATGAAACACTGCCTGATCCTGGGCCAACCTCACTACTGTTGGCATACTTGAGTTCAACAATGCTGCCACTTGGCCAACCCTTCTTGTTGGGGGTCTTCCTCTTTTTCTCTGACCCTCCACCTTACCCAGCATGATATCCTTCTCCAGCAACTGCTCCCTCCTGACAATATGTCTGAAGTATGAGAGACGAAGTTT